TATTCGTGTAAAATTTTAACTCTGCCTACTCGAAATTGAAGTAGCCGATCCCAAGCCCGGATAAAGGAGAAGGTTTTTTTTTAAATAAAAATATTTAGAAAATGTATATTTACTATTTTAAAAATTATAAATGTTTTGAGTTTTTGATGAGCCCCGATAAATGTTTTGAAAATGTATATTTTTAAAAAAATAACGTTATAGTAGCGTTTATAATAAAAAATACGAGGCGAGCCGAGCTCGCCCATGTGGCAACGAGCCGAGCTCAAGCTCTGCTCGTTGCCAACGAGCCACGAGCTCGGCTCGTGCAACAATGGGCCGAGCCGGCTCGGCTCGGCCCATTGACACCACTAACATTCATTATCTCTACAAGAAAATATGACCATCATATAAGAATGATTGTTAATATTGTGATGGAATTGTTATTTGTGATTAAAAAGAAGTGAAATTGAAACTGAAATGATGAGTTAAAGGGGGAAATCAAAGTGGTTAAAGTAAAATTTCACTTGAAATTGAGTGACCCCTAGTTTTGGTACCTTTGCATTAAAAATAGTAAGAGAAATCAATTAAACGCTAACTATAATTGAAAGGATAAATACAAGTGGAATTCAAAGTTCATCAAATTTATTCCACTTTCCCAAATAGAATGCTTATTTGCTAAGACTACATTAAACATGATTATTAAAATAAAACAACTATCCAAAATATGTGAACCAGATTTCATTTATTGCCGATTTAATTAATATTAATTAATTATTACATGGATGGTTACATATAAAATAATTAAATCGATGACTTAAACAATTATTCACAGTTCTATAATAAAATATATCCATTATTATCTGTTTGAGCCACATTAATTTTTTCATTCTCATTATTTTACTCATTTTCAATCATACATTTTTCAATAAAATAATATTTTTCATCATATCAATAATTTTTCCTTCTTTTTTAATCACATCAACAAAAAAATACATTCGTGACACCAAAATGTGCACCAAACAAGGGATATATATGGAAAATAAACCCTTCACAACAAAATATTGAATGCAGTATAAAAATCGGATTTTCCAAATCAAAAGCAAGATGCTGAAAATAGCACCTACTTAAATATCGCAAATGAAATGATTAGAAGAGACAAAACTTGGCTCAAAATTGTCAAATATTCTCAAAAAGGGTATAAATTGCAATAACAATTTGATGCCTCTTTTATGTTTTCAAAAGTTCACCAAGTATTTATGAATTGTAATTTTTGTACGTATTATTTTTAAGTAAGATATTTGCATCCGAAGTCTTCAAAATTGAGTTTTTAAGTCCTCAATTTATTTAAATTTGTGGATTTAGGTCTCTCAAGTTAACGAAAGTGTCAATGTAGATGTTAAGTTATTTCACAATTTTACCATCCAACTTTAAAATCACATGAAATGTACATGCGATTTTAAGTGCCTGTTTGTCTACCATTATTGTGATGAAAATGGTGTAATGAATAGTATTTTTTGGAGAATGTGAGGTTAAAATTGAAAGAAATTTTATCGGTTTATGTGTAGAATATTTTATTATTTGAATGTGTGGTGGAGATTGATTACTGTAGAAAACAATGTTTTGAAAAATGGTAAACAAACAGGGGCTATGTTCAATTTGACAGTTTCTATCATATGCAAATCTAAGTAGGTTGAGGACCCAAAATTTTGCTTTTGAAGATAGAGAATCCAAAACTACATTTCCTGAAAGTTGAGGTTATGACTAAAAACCTTACAAAGTGGAACCCACTGTGTTACACCAATATAAAGCAAAATTTGGCAGCAAGAGAAAGGAGTTTTTTACACAAAACAAAATAGCCATGCAAAAGCAAAAGCTTGCCGTTTCAAAGCCATTGGGGCCTTAAATACCCCTACCTCTTTCCTTCTCTGTATTCCTTTTTTTCTCCCAATTTTATAAACCCTCTCTTTTCCATTTTTAGACAAAAACCAAAAAAAAACCAATTATTTTTCTCTTTCTTTATACACGCATGTATGTGTCAACTGTCATTGTAGTATTTTATAGTTTAAAAATCAGGAGAGACACGAGCCGGACAGACTGAAGAGGAATTGGTGTTTCGGGATCTTAATTGTTTATTTTTCTGGGTTTTGGGAGAGAAAAAATGGGTCGAGGAAAGATTGAAATCAAGAAGATCGAGAATGTAAACGGCAGGCAAATCACTTTCACAAAGAGACGAACAGGCCTGTTGAAGAAGGCACGTGAACTGGCTGTTCTTTAAGAGGCAGAGGTTGCGGTTATAATTTTTTCCAGCACGGGAAAGCTTTACGAGTTTTCCAGTTCCGAGTATGCACTTTATGCTTTCAACTTATTCTTTTGGGATTCGTTTTGGATTTTCGAGTTGGGGTCTCATTGATTTGTTGCATTTGTGTTCTTGTTATTTTATGCTTTAATAGGGATTTAATGAACTCTATTAAATCAACTTGATGTAAAATTTTGAATTTGATGTTGATTGAAACGCTTGCAATTTTACATGACTTTGGACTGATAAGTTACGGTTTAATTGGATTTTCGTGTGATTTGGCTTTGTTTAATTAATTTTGTAATAAATTAGAGAAAATGTTTTTTTATTTTCAAGCGTTTGATTATTTTTATTTTTATTTAATTATTTGGTGCTCCAAATACAAAAAATAATACAAAGGGGATCGAAATGCTGGTGTAAACATCTAATTTTAATCCTCACCAAAC